AAGGCATCTTGCTGTTGTATGGGCAGCGATATTTTTTTGCCCTGATGATAAAAAGTAGTACATAAGATGATCCTTCTGAGGCAGTAGTACCATTTTCCCCGTCTTATGGGTGGAAAAACTGAAGCAGAGAGAAGTTAAGTAATGGGCTTTGTCACACAGTTATAAGCATCAGAATCAGAGCTGACCACAAAATATGCAAGCCAGAATCCATGCATGTCATCACTGCATCATCCTGTCTTTTCAGGTTTTAATTTTTAAATCTAAGAGACTGTTCCCAATATATAGGGTAGGGTCCCTAGGCCTGCCCGGCGATCAGGGCCAATCTGTGGGATGACCAGTGGGGGGGGCGATCTGGGCTCCACCCCCCCCCCACTGCCCTGCTGGCACCCACCTTGGCTGGTGGCCTGGCACTGCACACTGGTCGGCTCCATCCACCAACACCATAGCCACCTGTCACTTCCCTCTTGGGGGGAGGGGCAGGGGGAAGGCAGATGCTCAATGCAGGAGCTGCCCCCTGGTGGTCAGTGTGCATCATAGCGACCGGTCATTCCCCTGGTCATTCCGCGTTCAGTCAATTTGCATTTTAGGGTTTTATTATATAGGATTCATTCCTCATTCAATGAACACTCCCTAATGTACCAGGCACTGTTCTAGGCACTGAACGTATGCTTACTATCCATCTAAGTTTAGGCTCTGTGGGTCTAAAGGCCCTAATTCTCAAAAAAGGAACACTTCTACCTGTAGAGAAGAGTGTGTGTAGCAATCAGGTGATCTGCTGTGGAGTCTCATTATACCTCTGTAGATGAGAACAATAGCCATAACCTGAGAAAGGCACAGTAACCAGGGGCTCAGGACTCTCTAGGATGCAAGACCCCTAGACCAGCAGTGGGGTTAGCTGCCCTCTCCAAAGCTGGTGGTATACCTCCCTCCAGGTCTCATTCTGAATCTATGAGGCTACACAGGTAATTAAATAAACTCATTGCAAAGCATCGTGCTTATTCCAACACAAAATGTTAGACTGCAGATATAAATAAAGATATTAATAAAGTGTTGGTATATATAAAGATATTACAATACTAACACAATGTCAGAAAATTCACATGCTGGTATTATAGTGCACTGGTCCATGAGAAAGGGTTAAAAAGACTAGGTCATTAAGGTAAAATAACTGTATGGAAGTCATTTAGCATTGGGAGCCTGTTTCCTAATCTATTTTAAAAGCTGGTTCTGACTCCCCTCAGAATTGCCAGGAGGACCTTATCTGTAAAGATAACAATATCTCCCTCACTGGAGTTGTTAGAAAGATTAAATGAGATAATGTATTATGATATCTGACACATATTAAACACTCCATATATGGCTAGTATCGAACAAAAAGATGCTTGCAAAACTAGTTTTAAAACTAACATGAATATATTTAATATGTAATATTTTACATTTTTCAGATGTTTAGCCTTGCCCCCTTAACAAGAACAGGGGCCTTCTCTTCCTTTGCACTTAACTTCAAAGCAACCAGTGCAGTGTTCTACACTTGTTAAAATCTTTTCCCTGACTTGCAAGGAATCAGTGAGTAATATCATGCCTTGGCATTCTGTGAATACAAGCAAGTGCAAATGCTTCTGTAATACTCTGTGAAAGAAAAAAAAATTTCCAGCAAAATGGAAAGGGGAAGGGGAAACACCACTGAAATGTCGCCCAATGATTTCAAACATATTTCTGTCTGTCTGAATGTATTCCAATCAAGGTACTTCTAGTCACCTGCTATTTCAGGGTGCTGAGGTGTGTGCACCCATTTCCCTCTATATTTTATTAAATGAGGAATCAAGGATTACATCTATCCTGTGCTCAAAATTTTTAATGGAACCAAAATCCTCTGAGGATTATCTTAAATCCAGGTAATTTTCTTAAGTGGGACCTGAATGTAGCCAAATAGCTAAAGGGTTAGAAACCTGTCTATCTGTCTCTTTAAAGTGATTTCATGCATTTGGACCGCTGGGTCACTGAACCACTTCAATGGTGACATACATATTATGAGGAAGCACACTGATCAAAATTCAAAACACACTCAAACAAAGCCAGATCAGGATGATTTGGAAAAGCTCCATCAGTCCAATCCATCCCATTTGATCCCATCTTTACACAGCCCTAAACTCTGTATTCCCCTCCTATGAGCAGGTTAACTTTTCCCTTACCCCTCATCTCCTCGTTATCTATGTTAGTGCCCCCACTCTATGAATCACCCAAACAGGGTTCTTTTCCGGAGCTACCTCAAATCTCACTTCCTACCTATGCCTTCTTAATACACATTAATTTCTAGAACCAATCCCCCTTTGTGAAATGTGGAATTCACCCTCTCCCAATACCACCCCCCTCCATGTGAATGATAAATTAACAGGCAAAGCCAGGAATTTTGTTCAACATTGGTCCCCTCCACAGGACAAAGCCCAAGGCATGAGCAGAGCAGCCACCTGCTATCATAGAAACAGCTATAATAATTATATAAAAACTAGAAGCCCTGTGCATGAATTCATGCACCAGTGGGGTCCCTCGGCCTGGCCTGCGGGATGGGGCCAAAACCAGCTCTCCGACATCCCCCAAGGGGTTCCAGATTGAGAGAGGGTGCAGGCCAGGCTGAGGGACCCCACCAGAGCAACGATCGGGGCCCGGAAAGGACACAGGAGGTTGGCCAGCTTGGGAGGGACCATCGGAGGGCTCCAGGGTGTATCCAGCCCATCTTGCTCAGTCCAGATCAGCTGGACCCCAGCAGCAAGCTAACCTACAGGTTGGAGCATCTGCCCCCTGGTGGTCAGTGCACATCATAGCGACTGGTTGACCAATCGACTGTCTGTCCCCTGGTGGTCACTGCACATCATAGAAAGTGGTTGAGCAACCTTAGCATATCATTAGCATATTACACTCTGATTGGTTGAATGGTTGACCAGATGACCGGACACTTAGCATATTAGGTTTTTATTATATAGGATTACCTAAGAGTCTGAGTTGCATTTGGCATTTGAATGACAGGTCTCCATTTCACAGAGGTCACATACTGCAGAAATATTTTTATTCATTCCTATTATAAATGCTGTTTCTTCATGTTAATTATCTACATCAGCAATTTTCTACCTTTTTCAGTCTCATGGCACACATAAACTAATTACTAAAATTCTGCACACACCAAAAAATATATTTTTTGCCAATCTGACAAAAGCAATAGGTATAATTTTGATTCTTTCACATCAGATGGCTATTGTTGTGTTGGCTGTTGTCATTTTTTATTTGGCAAACTAAAAGAAAAGAGGTCAGTGGCCCTGACTAAACAGTCAGGCATTGCATGTTTTAAAAATTCTTTTCCCCCCATTGAACTCTCCCTGGTCGCCCCCACCCCACCCCCGTCTGTGTCCATTGGCTATGTTCATATGCATGCATATAAGTCCTTTGGTTAATTTCTTAACCCATTACCCTCCACCTTCCCTCATAGGTTGGACAATCTAATCAATGCTTCTATGACTCTGGTTCTATTTTTGTTCATCAGTTTATGCTGTTCATTATATTCCACAAATGAGTGAGGTCATGTGATATTTATCTTTCTCCGACTGGCTTATTTCACTTAGCATAATGCTCTCCAGTTTGCATCCATGCAAATGGTAAGAATTCCTTCTTTTTTACAGCAGCATAGTATTCCACTGTGTAGATGTACCACAGTTTTCTAATCCACTCATCTGCTGATGGGCACTTAGGCTGTTTCCAAATCTTAGCTATTGTAAATTGTGCTGCTATGAACACAGGGGTGCATATATCCTTTCTGATTGGTATTTCTGTTTTCTTGGCTCCAAATTCTTTGATGCTCCAATGTTCCCTCCTCTTTCAATCTGGATGAGCCTGTGAATAATTCTAGACATCATAGAATATGGTGAAAGTGACCCTATGTGAGTTCTGAGGTTAGGTCATAAAAGACCATGCAGCTTCTTCTCTTGGAATGGTCACCTTCAGGGAGCACTGAGTCTCAAAATCCAGTCATTAAGCTGTGAGACAACCAAGCCAACAGAAATAATAAAAATGACTGCTGTTTTAGTCCACTGTTTGGGGGGTTATTTGTAAGTAATAAACAATTAGAACTAATAATATCTTTATTTTTTCTATTATTCAGACCAAAAATTCTAATGTCTTTGATTCCCTTCCTTCTCTCACATTCCATATCCAATCCCTCAATAAATTCTGTCAGCACCCCTTCAAAATATGTCCAAAATCTGAACAACTCTCATCCATAAAATGAATCTCTTCTAAAGTTCTTAGTCAAAAACAACAGAAACTAACCCCTGCTAACTTTTGCACACAAATTTCATGAAAGGAAAGCAGATGGCTCACAGCACAGACCATAAAAGGATGAGAATCACATCCAGAAAATAGTCAGAAATCAACAAAGATTAAGCATGAGGAATCACAACCAAAGATCCAGCCTGCTGATGAACTGCCACAGCTGGACACAGAATGCACCACCTTCACCAGGTTGAATTCTAGGCTGCCCCCACTCTTTCGTTCTTTGGTGTCTTACCCCGGGAGTGGGGGGTGGGGGGGACGTATCTCATTGGCTGTGCTTACTTGATGTTCCTGATTCCCAACTGCCAGGGAATGGAAAGACAAAGAGTTTGAGCGTTTTGGCTTTCACGGTAATAAGTGGAGACCCATATCCAATAAAAACTTATTTCACAGAGCATTCTCCAAACACAAAAACTGGGCATGAATTCTGAGCAGCCAAGTAAAAGTAAATGACTCTGATAAGGGTTGGGTGAAGAAAAAATACATTTTATATGATAAACAACAGGTTCTCAATATATGTTAATATAATGGAAAGATAACTAGACTCTGAATTAAAACCTTAGATTCAAGTCCTGATCTACCACTTACTAGATGTGTAACCTGAGCAAATCCCTTAACTTCCCTGAGATTCCATTTTTTTGCACCGTTAAAATGGGAACAATAATATCTGTCCTACTTACCTTACAGGTTGTTTTCAGGGTGAAATGAGCAGATTAAAATTAGTATCTTCATGTCCTTCATCTTGTAAACACTGTCGCCTCACTGAGAGTCAGCATAGGTGTTCCATAAGTTCTGCAGAGTGAGTAAAAGTTATAGAAATAATCTGTAAAATGAAAACCATTAATTACCTGATCTTACTAAGTACTCCACTTAGGCCAGAAAAGTGTGATACTGTCACCCAGAGCCAGCCTTAAGTAATATCAAATTATGCTTTGAGAGGAGATCCTTGACACTGATAATATTTGCCACTGACCTCTTCATAAAATATATATGGAGTGGCAGAGCAACTTATTGCTTCAATATTTAGTGTAAGTGTAGCTCATAGAGCAAATTCCTTCTGTGACAAGTTTTAAGGACTTGACAATAGCTCTTGAGAATCATTCTAGCATGGGGAAATAATGGAGCTTATTGCCTAGATTTTTGGTCAATAAATTCAAGTTACCCTGAAAAAACAAGAACTATTTAATTATAGGGCAACTAAGAATAACAACCCCTAACCAAATACTTTGGAGATAGATAGCTGAGAATCAAGAACTTTTCAAATATTTTGAAAGTTAGTGGTAAAAATCATAACCCCCAATAGGATCTGCACAGCTCCCTATAATCAAATACAATAATAATTCTACAGAGGTACATGTGAATGTTAATTCTAACTGGAGTAAAGACTGAAATAGTGTCCTATCAGTTCAATTAAGGTTATTTCAACATGAGATAAAAAAAATGTTGGTCTTCAGGCTTTTTTGAATTCTATAAATGCACACAAGAAACAAAGTTGTATTTTTAAAAAGTAAAGGAATAGTGTTATAGCGCTTTGAGATAAAAAATGCTCTACTGTGCACATTTAAAGTTCTCACAAGCTGGAATATTAATGTGTCTCTTAAAATCATCTATATAAATTCACTTTCATAGTATTATTTTTCAAATATGCAATTCAGAGAATTATAAAATTCAACCAGAGAGATCATCTATCTCAACCGGTTGCCTAATTCAGCTGATCCCTACTACTAGCATCCTAGCCACATAGTTACTCAACCTCTGCAGGGTATTTCTCTGGGTGAAAAATTCACTCCTTCATACGGCAACTTGCTGTACTCTTGGACAACCTTAATTATTAGAATCAAAGTCAGCTCCTCTGTCACTTTTATCATTTGGTCCTAACTCTGCCCTGGGGAGCAGGAAACACTACCCCCTCTGCCACGTGACAGCTAGGCAAATATTTAAAGTGGCAATCATGTACTGTATTATTTGCCTCTTCTCTAGGCTAAACATTTGCTCTAACTCTTCCACATAAACCATGGTTTCCTCTTCCTTCACATCCTGAGGGCCTATGCTAATCTCTAACTTATCAATGTTTATATTAAAATAAGGTAACTGGAGCCAGATAAATCTCCAGCCCAGAACACTGGGAACCTGTTACCTTCCTTGCAAGCTATATACCATATTTCTATTGATGCAGCATAAAATTACATTAGCTTTTTTATACAGAATAATATTTTTGAACCATTTTGCATGTATGTAAGATTTATATCCCCATCTTTTCACATCCATTATTGTCACAATCCAGAAACCTCCCTTGATTTATATTTTTTTAGCCTCAATAAAGGGTTTTTGTATTGGTCTTTGTTAAATTATATCATGTTGGTTTTCATTCCAACATTCATGTTTCATTTTGAATCTTGATTTCACCTTTCAATATATTAGCTATGGCTACTTGCTCTGTGTCACCTACAAATTTGATGAGCAATCTTTCTAACCTTCAGTGAAGACTTTAATAAAAAAAAATATATTGAACATGGTAGGATAAAGAGCCCTATGGCGTGTCATTAGAGACTTCCCTCCAGGATGGCATCAGAACTATCTAAAGCAGCCAGTGAACCGCATACACAAATAACAATACCAAGCATTAGATGGCATGTGCTAAATGAGCAGCAAAAAAACCCAAACACTATACAGAGAAAAAAGTAATCCAGAACCAACAGACAAGGCTCTCTACTTTAACAATTAATTTCAAATACAAGTTTGGTTACAACAGGGCACTTTTAAAAGGTGTCTTTCCTTCCTGAAATGTGTATATACTGTATATGTACTAGGGTTGCAACATAAAATCCATTTCCTACTATGGGTCTCACCCACATATTTTTCATATTGGTATATTAAAGGATGAGTGGGATTTGAAATGGTATAGAGAAGGGGAGAATAAGCCAAGCAAAAAAAAAAAAATCTTACCAAGCTTTGGATCAATAAACTCCTATAAATGTGACTCCTCCCACTGCTCCTTTCATTCCCCTCCACCCCACTCCAACCCCTACTATTGTAATGTAAGCAACCCCAACATGCAGAAATCAATCTTTTAAGTATATATATTTATAATGATTCTTTGGTTTTCCAAGAGATTATTCACTTTTAAAATAGGTCCTAAAGAATGCTCATTTACAAGGAAAGTGACCCTGGTTTAATATACAATCATTTGATTTGGTTTAATACACACCCATTTTTCAGAATACCAAGAATACAAAATATGAAGGGTTTCTGCGATTTACTTATATTGGGAAACAAACCTAATGTTAAACATGACCCTTGAAACTGTCCCAACATCTTTCCAGTCAGAACACTTTGATGATAGAGTAAATATCGCTACAGTTCCACTTTGAAGAAACAAGGTTTAAATAGGGCTTTGCCCCATCAAGTAAATTTTTTTACTTAAAACTTAAAATCCTCTTCAAAATAAAAAAAATGTGCAGTAAATACTCAGAAATGACATGACTCTGAAGCAATTCTGGTTTCACTGATCACTTTAAATCATGACAGGTTCTGGTCTCTCATTCTTTGCCCTCTGTTCCTTTCTTGGTCTGAAAATTAATTACAGCTAGGAACCACAAACTCAGAACATAATTTAAAACTTGAAGCAACAAACCCATTCACTAAATCAGATCACTCAGAATTCAAAAATTTTTTTAAATTCATTTTTAAAAGAGAATCCCAAAACCTTTTTGGAATATGAAGTTAATCATTACAAAAGTATCCCATCAGAAATAGCTTTTAAGGCTATAAACCCCATAACAACTTGGATTCAGTTTTAGGATATCTAAAAAAGAGCCCTCAGGAAATTAACCCAATAATCATAAAGACCCCATTTTGATAAAAGGGGAGCATGTGTGGAAAGGACTTTGGAGAGCAGCTGCATGAGGAGGGCATTAGACAACAGGATTGCCCACTCCGCCTCCAGATCCAGATCTTGTTTCCACCACACCCTTGACCTTGAGATTGCAGGTGATGGACTAGACACAGCACTCCCGAAATCAGTAATTTCTAACTTCCCCTAACTAACTTTCAACCTTACCCAAAAGATAAGAATAGGGAGGAAATAAGGGGAAACTTAGCCCATTAGTTTGCTTTCTTTTTTCCCTTCTTCATACAAAAAAAAAACACAAAAAACAAAAACAAAAAAACAGTCATCCTCACTCCATTAATATGCAAGATTCTTAAGAGCAGGGACCATATCTAATCTGTTCATTGTTCTACTCCCAGCACCTAAGTAGTAACATATTTCAGGGTGCTTTTTGTTTGTTTTCTGTTTTTTTGCTGCCCACTATCCAAACAAACGTATTTCAAATGATCCCCTAAAGTGTGCAGTAGAATCAGTGCCCCTCCTTCTCACCCTTGGATAGCTAGGATCCTGGTATATGCCCTACGAGAGGGCATGCCCCTCCCCCACTGGCTCTTGGAGAGACAACATAAAAACACAGGGATAGCCTGTCTCTTTTGGCAGTAGCAACAGACAATGGTGACCACAGAGGCTTCCTAACCAATCTATTGCATAGTGTGACCTTGACTTTGCTGCTGTTCCCATTGTCCCTTGATTTCTGCTTGCTTTCCAAGCTTGACTCTCTTGTATTCCTATTGCCTCTGTGAGCTACATGGTTCCTTCCATGGAAATTCTTTTCTACCTAAATTAAAGACAACTTCTCTTACTTGGAAACCAAAACTGAAAGAGGCACCTAGGATGTTTTCAAATTATATTTCTTAAATGAAGAAATAAATTAGTGAGTCAATGAACCATCACCAATTTTCTGTATAACACTTTACAGTTTCCAAGAACTCTCCCATATTCTGAGTATTGCACCTGGTTGCTGCCCCACTAATGTTCCACTATTTAAGTTACAATATTTAACATAAGAGCTGGGGAGTAAAATTCAAATATGAACATAAAATAAAGTAAAACAATTTCTTCTCAAAGGAAATTAGATAGTCAAATAGCTCCCAAAAAAAAGTCTAAAAATAAGAACTGAAACTTCAGCTATGAACTGACTGACATTCACCAAGTCCCCTGTGGTTGGAACAGTTCTCCATCTGAGTCACTGAGGGAACAGCATCTGCAAAAGCAAAACAAAGCACAAAAATGCTTGCTTTAATCATATGAATCTATCTAACCTCCGGCTTGTACTTTTGAAATATGTTTTTATTGATTTCAGGAAGAGGGAGGAAGAGAAACATCCATTAGAGAGAAATATCAACCTAGCTGCCTCCTGCACGCCCCCTACCGGTGATAAAGCCCACAAGCAATGGGGGCATATCCCTGAATCCAGAACCTTGACCTCCAGGTGCATGGGACCAGAGGACTCTCAACCAACTGTTTCTATTCACCCCCACATTTACTGAAGTGAAATCAACCATAGCTCACCCCTTCCCGTAGAAAATCCCCTATTTAGATCAATACTAAAAAACGGGGGCGGGGGCAAATTAATACTAATTTACATCCAAATCAAATATCGTAGTTTTGTAGCAGATGTACTAGCATACAGCATATCATTTACAGGATTTTTGGGAATCTTTCACAAGCCCAGATGGAAAAGTTTAAGGGCTTTCCACATTTCTCATTACAAGCCAGGTTTGAAACATGGTGATTCAAAGCATAATGTTTCAAAACTGTCCTAAGAATGTCACTTGCTTTTTACCAATTTATGTCGATACGGTAAAGAACTTCACATGGGCATCATATTTGGTTGATGGGAACACAAAGCCAGGTTTCCCCAGTCTGACAGTCGGAAGACCACTTCAGCATCTATTAAACCATCTCCGTAAGCAAGCCGGGAAAGGCCATTTTGTGTTCAGTGACCTATTCAGCCCCACGGGTTGTGATGAACCTCTGAGGTCCCTTTTTGACTCTATATCTGATCTCCAGGGAGGCAGTGCTCACCTCTTTCAGGATAAGGTCTAAAGAGCACATTTTACCAACAAAGGGAGATAGTAAATACTTCAAAGTAGTTTTAAGAAGAAAGAAAAATGAAACATTGGGGATGAGGCGCTTTAAACCTTTAATATTTTTGTTCTACATAGCCTATAAATGCCCTGTATAATTTGTGACGCCTATAAAACGTACTATAAAAAATAATTTCAAATTGTAAGGAAAACCACATGAATTTAATACGACCAAAGAAGAGAACATAAAATGTATACACCAAAGGACTACCCTCTGGCTTCCAGTGCTTTTCTGATCCACACACACACACACACACACACACACACACACACACACACACACACCCATTCGTTTGGGTTTGTAAGCTCACAGCCATCTCCGACTCTCCTCTATTCCGGTACCTATGCAGTCACACCCTCTGGCTTCCAGTGCTTTACTGATACACACACACACACACACACACACACACACACACACACACACACACACACGGCTTTTCATACACTATCTGGCCACATCAAATCCTACAGTTTTGCATCAATATAACCCGAATGGCTTCTTTAGCTTGTATTCGCCACACAACTGTGCCAGCTCCTTGTTCTGAAAGCCTGCCGAAACCCAGTGCCGGGGTCCAAGAAGAGGGACAGGGAACCCGCTGCCCTCCGGCTCCCTGCTCTTGCCTCGAGGGCACCCGGAGACGGTGGTGCGGAGGCTGGAACTCACCGTCGTCCACCGGACGGGGCTGGCCCTGCCCTCGAGGAGGGCGGCAGCGCGGGGAGCCGGGGTCCCGGGGGCAGCGCGCAGGGCGCAGGGCAGCGAGGCCCTGGGAGCCTCCGGCC